TAAAAAGACTGCTGGCTTAAGTGCTTCCTGAAAATGACATGGCACGATACAAATAAATGAGTATTATCCATTACTGAATCCAGTTGTCCTCTATCAATCAGAATAGGAACATTATTTTGCACATATTTTTCCAGCCTCCCATAAATATACTCCAAATACAAAAAAATCTTCCATAAATATTTTTGAATAACAACAACAGACGCTTGTTCCTATTACAAAAAAAGATTGGTAGAAATAAATTATTTGCCCAGCAGCCACTGATTTATAGAGTTAGCAACATTAGCGCAGAGTAAGCATTAAGATGTAGGACTATAAATACAAATAATTGCATCATTCTCAGCATAATCATTTATCCATCCTGTAAATTAAAATGTGATATAACTTTAAAACTCTACACATCTTAAAGCAGGTATACATAATAAAATGGTTAATTTCTGAACTGATTTTATATGCTTTGATTTTTTTAAAAAAATTCAAATAAAATGGATTATTAATGTAACAAATATGCTTCCTGCATGGATTAGTCTACAAGCTAGTACTCTGACATTTTACACATTGGGTTTATTCCCAGAACACACTTAACTGGGTCAATTAGGGGATTAGTGTGCCATTGGAAAACAAAAAGGGATCAACTGAACCAGTCAACATATGCTCAAAGGTGTTAGATTTAGCTCAGACAAACCCAAACTTACACAGATTTATCTAATTCCACCTAATCAGCAATGTCATGGAATATCTAAATCCGGTAAATTAATCCATTATGCCTACCAAGTCATCCAAGAAAAAGAGTGCAAGGGAAAAAGAGTCTTAGAAAGCAAACCTCTCCCGTGGAGAACATGCTATCAATGCCTCCCAAGCCATAGGTATGGCAGTGGCCAAGCCATAATTAGTGTCACTTACATGGTCAATTGAGTGAGGGATTAGTGATCTAGTAAAGTCTTGTCAGTATCTCTTGATGCAAGAGCTCAAGAGATACCACACACTACCTGAGAAAGGGGCAGTGACCTCTATATTCCCAAAATGGTGACTTCTGAGTCACTTGGTGTGATTTTGTGCTGCAAAAACTACTGGTAAGGAGATTGAAAGGGTTACATGTTACAGTAAGCTATGATATATTTTAACAATGATTTATTAAAGAATCCATATGTCTTAGACATAAGCACTAAACAATAGTTTATAGACCACTGTGGTTCCGAATCCAGCAAAAGTTTGACTTTACAATGTAACTATATGCCTATAATTTGTTACTGTTGTAGGCAATTATGGTTTCTCTGGCTAGTGTAAGATATAAAATGAGATCATACATTTGAGAAGGCTTTAGCTTAACCAGATGAAGGGTGTAGGTCAATTTCTCTGCTATGGCAATGTGCCAGACATTTTGGTACTAGAGGTCCAATGTAATAGTTTTATCTTTTGAATGTTTAGCTATGGATATTCTAGCGGCAGTCAACAAAAATACCACTAATTCTTTAGAACAAATATTTGCAGTACATAAAATATATGCAGCACAGCAAGTTGTGCACATATATTAATTCTCTGATTTAAAATTTTGCAAACACCTTAGACCATGGTGTTTGGAAAAACATGGAAACATGATCAACAAAAGTGCAAATATGTACTCTTTTCCCTGGTTTCAATTTCCATTTATTCCATGTTTGGTTCTTAATCTGTTGTTGGAAATCCCAAGCCATTTTCAAACCAGTTAGAGGCTTGCATGTTTGTTTTATAATATTATATAATTTAGGGATGAATCATCCTTTAGGTAAATCTGAAAGATTCAATACCACTGCTTCAAAGTTTGTCAAAGATCTGTTTGCTTGAGCTTTTATTTCTAAATTTTGCCCAGATTTTAAAACTAGCACTCCAAGAAGCACTGTCATCAGCTTTAAACATTTGAACAGTGACTGGAAGGAATAAAGAGTTTTTAATATCCCAGAGGTATTTTCCAACCTTATGATTCTATGAATCTAAGTCTTGTAAATCAATATTAGCAGGCTGAGTCTGAAGTTATGTAACTCAGCTGAAAGATACACTGACTGACAATATGGAGAGTTGCAGTCTCAATATATCTGGAAGACTCCAGGTTAAAGCAGGGTTACCATATGCTCAGATTTTTATTACCCATATTAACAGACTTTATTTCAAGACAATAATAGGGGTCAGTATATTAATTGATCTAAATAGTGGTGGCATGTCTAAGCATCACTAAGTAAGTTTAGATCAATTAATATATTCAGCTTTCATACATTTGTATATGAGAAAAAGCAAGAGTCCTAAAGAGAGAGAAAAATCTTTCTTTCTAATTAGATGACACTCATCAATTCAAAATCAAGCATCTTTAAAAAATATTCCTTACATACAACAGAATGCCTCTTAAAAAGGCACTGGATCCCTGTTGTTTCAATAAGACTTTACGTACATTGGCCATAATTACAATATGCCAACTGATTATTCAGGGGTATCTTTTGAATAACTACAAGTCATTTAATGTAATTGGTTAATCAGCTAAACAATGCAACCCTGTTTTTTTTCCCCCTTGATACCTTTGAGTCAGTATTAACTCCCCGCGACTGCCTGGACTAGTCCCTGCAGTTTTCTTGGCAAGATTTTCAGAAGTGGTTTACCATTGCATCCTTCCCAGGGCTGAGAGAGAATGACTGGCCCAAGATCACCCAGCTGGCTTTTTGCCTAAGGCAGGACTAGAACTCACAGTCTCCTGGTTTCTAGCCTGATGCCTTAACCACTACACCAAAGTGCTATTGAGATTATAGCTTTGGTATAATTGTAGGAAAGCAGATTGATGAGGTAATACAAAGTCAATTTTACACTTTTTATAGCATTAGTTACCCCAACTTTTATCAGGGCCATCTTTTTAGTCTATTAAAAATTATACTGTTCAGTCTTATTTGTGTTTATTCAGAAGCAAATCCTATTGAATTTAATGGGCTGTAATTTCAGATCAGCAGGTATAGGACCATATCTTGGATTCTGTTACAGTGATAATTACTATCAGTGTTGGGGGATAAGGCAATGGAGTCTACCTTTTATGGGGTAATCATATCAAGGGGAATAAGAACCCAACTTTACCTTTTTAAAAAATATATATTATTTTATTTTTATTTTATTCGATTTTATTAAAAACACAATTGAAAAAGAAAAATAGAGAAAAATAATAATAAACAAGCAATAGTAAATAGAAAAGAAATTTGCAAGCACTGTAAAATTGAATTAAAAGTTCAGTTAACAGTTAACAAAATGTTAATTTTGTTCTACATATTTCAGCATCTTATATTTTTTAAAACTAGATTATTATTAAAATCAAGTTAGTGCAATTATGAAGAAAAATAATCAGTCTTGATATGAATAAAAACAAAGGTTACAGTAACCTCTGTCTCAGCTAAAAAATGTACCTTTCTTTAGCAAATCAAATAAAGACCTAAGTATTAGGCTGTTATGTTAGAACATACTTCAGATGTAATTTGAAATCAGAATGTGGAGTTACGATCCAAAAAAAGTTTCCATATTGAGTTAAACTCTGTATTGGATTTGTTTTTCAAATACAAAGTTATTTTGGACATTGAAACATACTCCCACAAATTAATTTGCCATTTTTGTACCGAGGGAATTATGTGATTTTCAACAGGAATCATAAAGTGTCCTCCCAGCTGTTACCATATATGAGGCTAATTTGGTATACTTTGTGGAAATATGTGGTTGAATAATATTTAACAAGAAAATAGTAGGCTAGAAGGAGAATTCAGCTTTTAGAATTTGTTTCATTCTATTACAAATCATTATGCAGAATTGTTGGGCTTCACAACAATGTATGGAAAATGTTTTCCATATTTTCTATATATGGAAAAATGAACTGACCTGATCAGTGGATTTCCAACCATTTTTAGAGAATTAATTGCCTCTTTTGGCAATCAGTAGTGGAGTAACATACCATCGATAAAACTTTTTACACCAGTTTTCTCTGAGTGTAATGTTCAATGTACGTGTAACATTTTGCTTCCACTGAAACTTCCATTGTTCCACATCAATTGGCCTGTTAAAATTCTGCATCTCTAAAAACACCATGAAATACAGACAACTTTCTCACAGACCTCTGGGGCTACTTGCTGGACATCAGGCTAGAGAGAACCAGCAGCCAAACTTCTTTGATCTAACCCTTGCCAGCCATTCTCCTCTGGAAGCTTCTTGAGGTTGCTCATGACAGCCAGCGAGCAATGAAATTACAGAGTTATGTGTGAGCTGCAGCCAGTTTGTTTAGACATGTCACTGTGACTGATTGCTCAGCCAAGGCTGTAATCTGAGCTCATGTGGGAACTGGATATAAAAGGAAACAGTTCATTCCCAGTTCCCACCTTCCCTTTGCCTACCCTTTCCTCACTTCAGCAAACATAATGGTTCTGACCACTGAGAACAGATACCACCAAGATACAGAATATAAAGATAGGAAAGCTTAAAATAACCTTTAAAGAAATCAAAGATAATATGTGTTTAATTGGAGAAGGGAACCCTCATAATATGTCCACTGCATATTTCTCTGGTAAGAGAAGGGTGCTTTCTCCACTACTGTAATCATGCTAGATTGTTATTCTCTTCCAGTCATGTAATTGGCGTACTTTACACAGCCTTTACAAAGTTTGCTAAAAATAAAACACTAATACACTGTGCATTTTTCATCTGTGTGAAATAAATATTTTAGTATTTTCTCTATATGTTGAATCAATTAATTTGTGGCACAAGGATTGGCAAGCTAGAAAGAAAAAAAATTAATCTGATTCTGTGGGCATTAGCCTCGGTTGCAACAACGGACTGACAAGGCTGTACCCTTGGGGAATTTCAAAGTGCATATATACTTTGGGGGCACGTCTTTTGCCACGGGCTCAGAGTGCGGAGCAGCATCACGCCCCTTTCTTAAACAGCAAGCAAGCAAGCCACTGGCTTCTGAAGACTCTTCTGCGGGGAAGCATAAATCACATGCATATACTTACCGCCGTCGACCCCGAGGACGTTGCCACAAACACTTTGATCACCATTTTGACAACAGCACCAGAGAGACTTGACGCCGGAACCAGCGCGGCTGGCGAGTCCAGTGCGCGCAAAAAAGCTAAGGGTTACCGGCCCTGCAGCAGCTTGGCAAGCAGAGAGAATCCCCAGGGCATATCCACTTCTCCTCAGTCCAGCTGGTCCCTCGTCCTTCCCCCAGCCCCAGTTCATTGGCTCTCGGGTATTTCGAGAACAGATGAACGTAGAGACGATTGGTTTGTGAGAGTATCTGTTGCGGAGGGAATTCACCTGCTTGTCACTTTAGATTGACCGGTTGGCGGCCCTTAAAAGGCCAGGGACTTGCAATGCACCAATCATTGCAGGTTGCCGGGGGAGGGGTGGGGGGAAGAAAAGGGCGCCCGAAGGGAGGAGGGGGAATCTGTTTCTTCAAGGGTTCGTAAGGCAAAAACTGGTCTTGACAGCTTTTTCATAAATCAGCTAGGGATTCAATGATCTTCCTTACTCTTCTAGTCAGAATAAAATGCTCGAGGCTGTAAAATCCTGAAAGACAAGTTCTATGTTGCCTTAAAAAAAAATTAAAGGAAAATACGAGTTTCAAGTCCTTCACTCCAGTTCCAAATTCCCTTTGTTTTTTAAAATGGCTTGTAAAGAATATAGATGCCTTCAAATTCTACAGAGGACTCACACTTTTTAGAATCGATGATTCTTTTAGGAATCAATCACTCTGAGATCAAAGAAAGGATGACTGCTCTTTCTTTGCTTGGTACAGTTGAAATAGTAGAAGAAAAAGAATAGACAAAGTGGGTGGAGAAGATCAAAGACATTACTGGAATTCTTGGAGAGGTAACAATAGTCATTAAGGTCAGGACAGCAAGTATTGCCCATACTGTCAGCAAGAGTCAAACCCCATTTGATGGCACCTAATTATGGCCCTCCTGATGTGAAGACACTCCAGCAAATCTTCCTTAAGCATGTGTCCACCTGCCCTCACCTGTATCTTCAGGTCAGCCAGAGGCCAAAGTGCCCCATGTATGGGCTTAGGTGTTCTGCTACTGAAGTGTTTTCACAGTTGCCCGATCACATCTTGAGTCGTTCCATGCAGACAAAGTGGGTTGCATTGATGCAAGTGGGGGAGGCACCTGCAATAATGTGTTCGGAGTCAGCAATCTAGTGGCTTCTACTGGCTTTGTCAATATGGTCCTGGCCTGCCGCCTTCTCTGGTCCCTGACCACTGCCCTTGTTGCTCATTCTTGTTTTGCCAGTGTGGGAAACTTAATCATGGTGTCATTCTCCTTTTTTTTTACAATGATATTTTGGATGAGCAGTTGATGGATTGACCACTTGACTCTATAGGTAGTATAGACCACAGAATGTTCAGAAAGCATTACAAAAGAATTCTAAAAAGCAGTCAGCATACCAGTTGGTGATAGTCTTGTATGAGGTAGCTAATGATAGCCAGGACTTGGAATCCAACTGCTGAATCCATTCCTTACAGGTAGTCCTTGGTTAATGACAGCAATTGGGACTGGAATTTCCATCGCTAAGCAACGTAGTTGTAAAGTGCAATGTCACATGACTACACTGCTTATCAATGGCAGTTCCAGGTACCATCATTAAGTGAATCTTGCGTTGCCATTAAGTGTGATGTCACACGGCTGCCATTTGCGACCTGCTGCTGGCTTCCCCCTTGACTCTGCTTGTCGGAAGCTGGCAATGAAAGTCACAAATGGCGATCATGTGACTGTGGCATGCTGCCACATCATAAGTGCAAGCCAGGCACCAAGCGCCTGGATCACAATTATGTGACCACGGGGTCGCTTTGACAGCTGCAATTAAGAGGACTGGTCATAAGTACCACTCATTCATAGTAAGTTCAACGGTCACTGAATGAGTGGTCCTTAAGTGAGGACCACCTGTATTCTGATACATGCTCTGGCTGTACAATCAACAGTGCATATACTTCCTCCAGGCATGTGGCATAGTGTGCACAGTAGGGACAGCCAAATTTAGGGTGGGGTTTTGCTAGCTCAGGCACAGGATGACAGCAAGGTTATCTGATTGTGTGGATTTGGCCTATACTGGTAAACAAAACTGAAACATGGTAAAACAAATGAGAACAGCCACTGAGATGCATTGCTTCTTTTCAAATAGCCACAAGAATATAACATTTAAGAATGATCATGGAAACTCATTATGAACTGCACACACTCTGCCTTTTATGGACTGCCCACAAGTGGCCAACCAAAAGAATTGCCTTTCAATAGCCAGTGGAATGCAAGGAGTCGGGATTCATTCTGCACTCTGCTCGACTACATTCTGAATAAAAAGCATGTTAACAAACCTTTTTCAGAAGGGCCATTTGAAATGAGAGTTTGAGAGTTCATCTGAGAGGTGAAATGGATTCTGCATCTTCTGAATGGCCACACATTACTTTCTCTTTTTCTAAAAACAAAATGTGAGTAGCAGCTCTCAGTTAAAGATATGTTTTCTGTAGAGATGTCAGTAGGGAAAAAATGCAAAGACTAACCAGTAACATCCCTCCTTGGCAACCATAAGTAGACATAAAGGTCAGGCTGCTGTGTATATCAAACTGAGATGAAATCTGGGTGATTTGGAGTCCTAGATGTAAAGGGCAGGAAAAGGAAGGAATGCAGCAAAGAGAAAAAGAGTCATCTTGCTTTTCTGGAGTTCAGCAGCCAAATAAAATTGCTTTCTATTAAATATTCATTGTGTTTTAATTATGATGAAATGACACATTCCTCTAACTACAACTAGGTAAAGCAGCAAATTTGGTTTCACTTTTTGCTAGTAGCATATTACCAGATTTTAAAGTACAGTAATGTTCATCCAACATCATTCACATAAAAACCTTTTCGTTTCTCCGTTTTCTGTTCACTAAGGTTGTGTTTTTCTTAAAGACAGGATGGAAATGGGAGATTTTCCTATTGCTTGCTTACTATACCCTGTTTGGGAAAAACCAAGTGCAATTTAAAACTATATCAGCCTCCTCCAACTTTCCATTTGAAGTTTGTAACTAAATGCAGGTTTAAAGCTTAAGCATTAGCCAATGCCTTCCTAAGAATATTGACACTTTTGGTGCTGGAGAAGACTCCTGAGAATACCATGGTCAGCCAAGAAAACAAACCAGTCAAACAAATCAGCCCAGAGTTCTCGCTCAAGGCACCAGTGACCAGACTCAAATTATGCTACTTTGCGTACACGTTATGCGAAGACCCAGCTCTCTGGAAAAGGCTCTAATGCTGGGAAAGGTGGAAGGAAAGAGAAGAGGAGAACCACCAGCAGCAAGGTGGATGGACTCAGTTACAGAGGCGATGGGTACACCGTTGGAAGATGTGAAGGTCCAGGTTAGGAACAGATCTTCATGGAGAAAATCTATCTATGTGGTCGCTAAGGATCAGTAATGATTTGATGGCATGTAATCAGTCAAAAATCCTTTCTTCTTCTAGTTTACCACCTTGGCAAATGAACAATTCTGAAAAATGTGAAGGCTGGCACTTTATTTTGTGGTCCCAGACTGGTCAATTAAAGCTGTTGCCTTAACATGCATTTTAAACTTCTTTCTAACCCACAGCTTTAGAACTCCAATCCTCCACAAATTTACCCCAGAGCAAATTTCATTCTACTCAGTGGAACTTACACCAGAGTAGGCATGCAAATATTACATACTCCTTTGGCCTGCCTGATAGGATAGGCATTTACCCTGTGTGAGATGTAGTATTTTTTTAAGTACTCTAAAAACGGTGGGTTTAATTTTGATTGCTTTTTTATTAAATCAGGGAAAAGAGCTTGTCCTCTTTGCATAGCTCCTGAGTAAGGAGCATTATCTTGGCAGAAAACCATAGTTTACTGAATGACTGTTGCGAGGAGTGTGAAGGAAATTGGGGATGATGGAATCTGAAAACGGCTCCTTAACTTCTACCACCTTACCTTTTCATTCTATTCAGTATTGTCCTACAAGTCCCATGATGCTCAGAGAAGAAGTTCTCCAGTTGCCATAGTAGCAAAGATCTGAAAACAACTTCTTCCGCCAATGCAGCCCAAGGAACCAGGTAACATGAATAGACAGACCACGGGTAGAAACCTCTGCCTGGGCATCGGGGGAAGGGAAGTTTAAATCCTGGGCGCTTAGCGGGCGTTTCGATTTCTGTGCTCTAGGCAAAGAGTCCTTGGCTCTGGTTGTGGGTAAGCAAAGATAACAAAAGTTAAAGGGAAGCGAAAACACGTGGAAGATAAAGGCATGGTTGAAGAGCTCCTCCTAGGGACAGGGAAAATTGAGCAGTCTGCCTTTCCTTTCTAAGTTGAATTATTTTGTCAACTTCTGTTATATCCCACTGCCAGTCAGAAAAGTAGGCATTCATACCCTTGTAGCATTACATATGGACATAATTGCATGGCTCGCTGAAACCGTGGGATGGTAATAATACATTTTCCTATGTCACATATATTTAATTAAATGACTAAAGAAGTGAAATCAGAAATACCCCAAAATGTTAAGGTTTATAAATATTGTACATCGGCTGGGGTACAAGAAAGGGAAAATTAGAAACTAATATTTATAATGCTTTTCTTATATATATATGTGTGTGTGCGTCTGTATTTTTAAATAACAGTGGAGACTTTGCCACTTAGCTCAAACACTCAGATCTTTTCCTATATTGCTAAAATAATTTAATGTACTTTGATTTTTATGGTTAATTTCTCATCAATGATATACTGAGCACTAACTGCACAATCTCTGCATAATTTTTTTCTTTTTTCTTTTCTCCTTTCACTTGTTTGTTCATTCTTTTTTTTTTCTTCTTCTAAAAATTATATACATGTTAAAACTATATATATATTTTTTAAAAAGGATGTTGGGCTCAAGAGCTTCCTTCCAACTACTTTAATCATTTATCTTTCTCATAATTTCCTTGATCATATTTTTTATTTGCAAGTGAGTTTATTTCAGTAATAGGGATTGAGCTATCCTTCTGTTTCATTTTCACACACACACTATCCTTTTTCATTTTTAAATTTTTCCCTGCTGCTGTATTTGTACCTGCCTTTTGTTCCTGCTTTTGTTATCCAGTATCACTTTACAATACTTTTTCTCTCTCCTGCCACTATCTTTCCCTTAAAGCCAGCTGTATATGTATTTACGATACCTTTGTATCATAAAACTTTTCTCCCTTAAATTCTACTGAGAATTGAGTTTGATGGGATTATTCCAAGGATAACAGGATGGGGAAACCAATCTCTTTGAACTC